TCTGGTCACTAAATCAGTGACAATCACCTCATTTACTTCACTAACTTCTCCACCCTTGCTCAAATGTTCCAACCACCAAGTGTATCACCTTGTGCACGTGTGTTAGCATATTTTCACAAACATTTTTAAGGGTGTTAGCACTCCACTAGATCTAAATGCATATGCAATGAGTTAGAACATCTAATGGCACTTTGATAACCGCATTTCGATATGAGTTTCACCCCTCTTAATAGTACGGCTATCGATCCTAAATGTGATCACACTCACTAAGTGTCTTGATCACCAAACCAAAAAGCTCCTATCAAATTTCACCTTTGCCTTGAGCTTTTTGTTTTTCTATTTCTTCTTTTCAAGTCCAAGCACTTGATCATCACCATGGTTACACCATCATCATGATCTTCATCATTGCTCCACCACATGTAATAGTGCTACCTATCTCATGACCACTTTGATAAACTCGGTTAGCGCTTAGGGTTTCATCAATTCACCAAAACCAAACTAGAGCTTTCACTTGGGCCGGTCCGCGCTGGCCTGACATCCTCGAGGGGCTTGCGAGCCCCTGAGGATGGTCTTCTTATGTCTAGATCGCTGTAGCTTTTGGCTGGAGGGCTCATGCATTTTGGTGCCCGGGTTCTCCTAGCTCGACGTCGCCGCTACCGCCACATCTCCATCTCTAGGTGTAGCTACCACATCTGATGAAGAACTATCATGATCTATCGCTGTGGGAGCTGGCCTTGAGTGCAACACGGTTCGATCCGCTCGTCACGGCACGCGGTGTGCTCAGGGAGCCCGCTTCCTCGGATGCACACGCCTCTAAGCGACAGCTGACAGTTTGCCATGGTGTGTCGTGCAACTAGCCCATTACGTAGGATTGGTCCCTGGTTCCAGGCTTGACCCTATGTGGTGTGGCGCTAGCAACCCGCTGGATCACTCACGATGACACCACATGGTGGCGGGTAGTTTCATCATTCATGCGCACCCTGACTCGTCGCGTCCCACTAGCAGAGACGTTGTTCGAGGCGTGATTCAATTGTAGGGTCCGGTTTTGCCATGCGGTGAGTCTAGACAGGGTATGGGCGGATGACGAGCATTGCCCCATTAGTTTAGACGATCCCGTGGTTCCCGAAAAGGATGTGGCCACCACGGGCCATTCCTTGGGTGAGATAGCCATGAGCCATGGCCATCTAGTTTCCTGGGTGGAGGTCTCGGCCATGGCCAGTAATGTGGGAGGGCATTGGGCCCCTCACATGGGTGCACTCCGGGATGCAGCCCCCGTGGGTAGTTCTGAGAGTGTGTGTGCCGTAGGCCATGGGACCTAGATTTCTAAGGTGGAGGTCTGGACCGTGGCTAAAGACGGGCGTGGGCGTTGGCCCTTTGATGCCGGTAAATACGTAGTTTTCACGGCGGATGTGGCCGCCGTGGGCCATTCCACCAGTGAATTCACCGACGATGCGAGGAGCCATTGCTTCCTTCTCAATAATCAAGAATGCGCGACTATCCCCTACCTAGCATGCCAATTATCGGTGTTTTGTAAACCGAACTAGTAAATTTATACGATTGTCGCGCTGCTCTAGGAAGGCAATGGTAGCATCCAATAGACATGAGGATTTATACTGGTTTAGGCCAAAGTGCTATGTCCAGTCTCAGAGATGATCGAGTGCGTGTTCCTCACTTGAATGCTCTGAACTTCTTATAATGGGGGTGCAAGAAAGGTGGAAGAGATGGGAGGACCTATGCTAGGCGATGGGCTACCCAAAGAGAAGCTCTAGGAGCCCTACTACAATGGTGAATGAATAGAATGGTAGAGGATTCAGAATGTCTGGAGAGGATGCCCTGGCTGCCCTTATATAAAGTTTGGGGCCAGGGCGCATACAAAGCAAGAGGTTCTCCTGGCCGAAGGGTCGAGAGCATGAGGGAGGTCCTGGCTAACTTGGCTTGCAAGCTATGCCATCTTCTGGTGCTTGTCTAGGCGTGGCTATCCTCATGGTCTTGAGGCCACGTCGCGGCAGGGTGTGACATGGTGCTACTGTGCTAGCCGTGGTGGCACTGTAGAGATGGTGGTGGTTCATCATCCGTCCGGTGCGATGCGGTATCTGTTATGGCCTTCATTGCCATCTCATAGTTTCCCGGGGCGTCGTATGGGAGTTGGTAGCCGCCCCGGGTCATCGATCGCCTGGTTGCTTCATATGGCTAAGGGCCACAACCCCGTTCGTCGGGGTCATGGCTTTCAGCCGATCTAGATGGCCTCTGTGTTGAGACCTTTGTCGTGGATCCCATCCTGTAGTGGGTGGGATCGTATATACATCTTGTCGATCCGTATCTGGATGGTGGGTTTCGTACCCGTTGCCTTTGCTATCCTATATTGTCTCGTCGGCGCAGTGTGGTGCATGGATGGTGTCTGACCGGGCCGAGGTGATTGTTGTCCCCTCGGTCCTTGCAGGGTCAGCGTGGCATGCTTCCTCTTGTCAGAGCAGGCATGCCTAGCTCCGCTTGACCTCCCCCCATCCCTCTCGAGGGTCATGATGGGGAGAGGTCGTGCGTCTTGTGAGCGTTGTGTGCTAAGGCGGGTGGAGGAGGACGGGGATGACCCCGACCTTGGTGGCTGACCCGCTTCGCTGGGCCTCGGTCGCTTAGGCCCTTGCTAACTATTGCGTTGTAGGCCACGTGGCCTGCTAACTAATCGGTGACTTGAGGCACCTCGGGGTTATGACCTCAACACCACTCCACTATCCAACGACGAGGACCGAGTCGATGCCAACCATGACGATGAGCCTCTACGCTACCGCACCTTGGACAACATCTTTGGCGATCAGCCTGTCCCTGGACTGGCGATGCATGACTTTGAGGCAGAGCTGCACCTGGCACACGTGGACGGCGAGCCTCGCTCCTTCGCTGAGGCAGAGGGAGACACGGCATGGCACGCCATGATGCAATAGGAGATGGATGCAATCGAGCAGAACCGGACGTGGGAGCTGGTGGATCTTACTACCGGCCACCGTGCCATCACCCTTAAGTGGGTCTACAAGCTCAAGAAGGATGAGGCCAGGGCGGTGATCAAGCACAAGGCATGTCTGGTGGCGTGCGGGTTTGTCCAACAGGAGGGAGTCAACTTCGACGACGCCTTCGCGCTCGTTGCGTGGATAGAGTCCCTCCGTCTCCTCCTCGCATTGGTAGCCCAGGAGGGCTGGCGTGTGCCCCACATGGGCGTTGAGTCTGCCTTCCTCAACGGTGACCTGAAGGAGGAGGTCTACGTCCACCAGCCGCCAGGATTCGACATCCCTGGCAAGGAGAACAAGGTTCTCTACCTGCGCAAGGCCCTCTACGGCTTGCAGTAGGCGCCCCAAGATTGGAATGGCAAGCTGGACTCCACCCTCAAGCAAATGGGGTTCCAGTAGAGTCCTCACAAGGCTGTAGTCTACCGGCGGGGCAAGGGAGGCAATGCCCTGTTGGTAGGCATCTACGTCGATGACTTGGTGATCACCAGCACCAAAGAGGCCGAGTTAGAAGTGTTCAAGGAAGAGATGAAGGCCACCTTCCAGATGAGCGACTTGGGCCTTCTCTCCTTCTACCTGGGGATCGAGGTCCACCAGGATAGCTCTAGCATCTCCCTTCGCCAGACCGCCTACGCCAAGTGCATCGTCGATTTGGGCGGGCTCACCGGCTGCATCCCAGCCCACACTCCCATGAAGGAGAGGCTGAAGCTGAGCCACGACAGCATGGCGAAGGAAATCGACACCACGCAGTACCAGCGCATTGTGGGCAGCCTTCGCTACCTCGTCCACACGTGGCCAGATCTGGCGTTCGCCGTTGGCTGTTAGTCGGTTTATGCACCGACCGACGACGGAGCAACAGCAGGCCGTCAAGAGGATCCTCCGTTATGTCGAGGGCACCTCCGACTACGATTTGCACTACCTGAGGTGCCCCGCGCGCGGAACACTTCATTGGGTACAGCGACAATGACCTCGCAGGCAACATCGACACAAGCAAGAGCACCAGCGGGACGCTATTCTTCCTCAGCAAATGTCTGATCAGCTAGCAGTCGATCAAGCAGCATTGCGAGGAGAAGCATATCGCTGCCACAACCGCTTCGACTCAAGCTCTCTGGTTGGCTCGGCTGTTGGGCGATCTCCTAGGTAGAGACACAGAAGCAGTGGAGCTCATGGTAGACAGCAAGTCTGTCTTGGCCTTGACGAAGAACCCCATCTTCCATGAGCACAGCAAGCATATCCGCATCAGGTACCACTTGATCAGGAGTTGCTTGGATGAGGGGAGCATCAAGGTCGGCTACATCAACACCCAGGATGAGCTCGCCGACTTCCTCACCAAGTCCCTTAGGCGGGTCAAGTTCCAGAAGCTTCGCGCCAGAATTGGGATGGTTCAAATTCCCCAGAAGACGCCACACAAGGCTTAGGAAGAGAATGATAGACTGGTCTATAAATCTTGTGTTTATCTAAAGTAGTTTGTGCCTGTGTCAGCACCCTTATCATATATCTTATCCTACTTTAGCATCTATTTTTAGTAGTTGGAATATGATGTAGCTTTCTTAAATTGCAAGTATGCTACATTGCTACTCTATATGTATCTCCAACCTGTGGCAAGGTTAATGAAACTAAAATTCTAGCCATAAACCTATGCTTTGGTTCCAACACAAGTAATATGTCTCCACATAAACTCCCTCCTCACATGAATCCAAATTTGTATCAAGGAATCACGAAAGCATGTAAATTTGTGAAGAACATAAGCCTGTATTTACTATTGAGCTGTACCGTGTCCGGCCGTAGAGTGGATTTTTTCGTAGAAGGCAAGAACATATAATAAATATCTGACCAATACGGTTACAATGTGGATATCCACCCGGGTAAATGATGCGCGTGTCCTCAGGCAGAAAGATCAAGCAGTGCTTTTTTTTTACAACTCTTTTATTATAATTTAGAGGTCAAGCAGTTGACTCTCAAGCATACAATGCTTTGATCTCCGCGACGTGTCCTCAGGCAGAAAGATCAAGCATTGTTTGACTCTGAAGCGTACAGTGCTTTGATCTCCTCAACGTCATCGTAGCTCCCTAGGAATATTGGGGATCTGTCGTGAAGTTTAGTGGGAGCAAGTTCAAGGGCCTGCATTGTAAATTTAGCAGGAGCGTTTTCAGCTATGCAGATGTGATATTTGTAACATCAAGATTTTTTAGTTGGACATTGGGATCTGAGAAAAAGAACTGAAAGTCTGAGACACACCCGTTGTTTTCCTGTGAAAGACTGACCTCCAGCTTGTTCCATCAGGAATGACATCGGGAAGACTTCATACAGAACACTGCAATTCCACATAGAACTAATGTGAGGATAGGAAGTTAAACTACAGTTCCGGGAAGGAAAAGATTGTTAGCTTTGGTATACCGTAGTTTTCCGTTTGGACTCTTCTGGTCTGCTGGGTACAAAAATATGCCCCCATATAGCAAGGTACGATGAACATCAGCAACCATACTGTAATCCATTCACAAGGACCATAACAGCATAAATTCAGCCATTTTAGTGAAACAAAAGAAAGAACGAGTAGATGCCAATAGCTTGAGCCCTATTATTTTATTCTTAAGAAAACTTCAGACACAATCAGTTCTTAACTGTAGAAGAAAGCAAAATGTGAAATACTGATATGCATTTGTCGAGAATGAGCAGTGAATCACCTTCCAATATATCTCAAGGATTTAGGCGGTGAACCATCCTGAGGATATTTGCATTTCTCCACAAATCTGAAATGGCGTAAAATTCAGCTTGACTTCTTAGGAAATTACAGTGATTTTGAACACAGATGAGCCCTCATACTTTGCTGTAGGCCCATCCCAGTTTTTGGCATTCCCTTCGTTGACTGAATAAATCTTCCCTTTCTTTGGTATCTGCACAAAAGAAGCATAAAACGCGATGCCCAAAACTCAAGTATTTTTACATTAATCAGGAGTATCAATCAACCAGGAAAGGAAAGAACTGCAGCATTTTTATCATTAACCTTGATATTCGGATGAGTCAAAATGAACTCTCCAAGGGAAGGATCAAGAGTGAAACCATTGACTCCATTTCCAGTGCTCAATACAAGCTGCCATAATTCATAAGGGCGGTCAATATAGGAAGACAAGTCGAAGCGAATTGTCTGGTGGTAAAATGGATATGACATAAAAAAATAATTACCGTGCAGGAACTCCCATACATGCAATAGCCAGCAGCAAGCATGTTTGTTCCAGGCTGCAGTACATCCTCCAAAGTCACGTTGTCCTTATCTTTGATCATGTAAATCCCAAAGATCTGCAGAGCAGAACCGAAATAGCATGTATCGACAGTAAGCTTTGAAGAGGGTAATGTTTCTCAAATATGGTCACTTAGTTAAAACTGGTTGAACATAAGTCGACAGCGTTCTAAATTGACTATCGGAGTATGGAACGAACCCACTAAGATTAATTTTTTACTTGCAGATGATTTTTTATTTTCTTTTTTGCGAGGATGTAGATGATTAATATACTATCGTCAGAAAGGCAAACATGATGATATCATTGGAACTCAGATCGATCAGTACATCCTTTTGTCTTCTGATCTATTTTGGCTCATTTGCTAGTACAGATCACAGGTGGGGATAAAAATCTGAATCTGAAGGTCACAATGACACATACTGTTCCGATGGAGACACCACAGTCGATGTTGGAGGAGCCATCCAGCGGATCGAAACAAACGCAGTACCTGAACAGAGAGAAAAACTAATGCACGTCACGATCAGGGAAAGCAACAGTATGACGTTGTGGAACTTGCAAGTCAGATTCTCAGATGGATTAGTAACGACTAACGAGCAGCTCAGAAGAATTAGTAGGGGTGGCAGAAATCACTAACTTTCCGCGGAGGGCCGGGTCGACGAAGATGGCCTCCTCGTTCTCTTCAGACACAAGGACACACTGTACGCAAGCGCGAAGTCAATGTCTAAGTTCAGCAGAGCTGAAGCGTTGAAAGAGTAGACGATGTTGGTTATATATATATATATATATATATATATATATATATATATATATATATATATATATATATATATATATATATATATATATATATTATTATATTCAGTAGTCAGCTACAAAATAAGTTAATCTGTAGCCACCTCCATTTACGATAATTTTATATACTAATTTACAATAATGTCAATACATATTTACGATAGTTGGGTTACTATAACACATGGGGATATTTACCATAACGTTATAGTAAACCACTTAGTAAGGAGTTACTATAATCTCGTAAATTAACATAGTAATTATCGTAACTCAAAGTGGCTATAGAATAAGTTATTTTTATAGCCAGCAACAGGGTAGTAGTTCTATATATATATATATATATATATATATATATATATATATATATATATATATATATATATATATATATATATATATATATATATATATATATATATATATATATATATATATATATATACACACACACACACACGATAAACATGGGAGGGAACGTGTACGGATGTGTAGGAGAGTGAGTGGATTACGGTGCGGCCGCTGCTGACGAGCGCCTTGACAAAGACTTCGTTGGACAGGACATCCAGCTTCTTTTGCTCCTCACCCTGCAAATTTTGCTCTTGAATGTTAACGAGAGCAAGTAGATTTTAACCAGAAGAATATCGTTTGGAGCATGTATGTATTGTATTGATTGAAGAGCAAGACCAATCTATTCTAGTATGACTAAGACAGCATAGTGATCGATGCATGGTAGGTTCAGCTAGATCAACTCTGCAGATGCAGCTAAAAAAATGTCCATCTGAGGAGCCCCGGGCCCACCGTCAGGGGCTCGAGTCGAGATCAGTAGCAGTAACTCAGAGTACGCGTGTCTGCACACGAAAGGCGCGGAGTGGATGGTGCGGTGATCGGGGCAAGTGGTGGCACGTGGAAGCGTGTGGTGGTGCTTTGCTTGCTTGCCTGGACGTTGGTCTCTCCGGCGAGGCCGATGAGCTTGGCGAGGCCGGCCTTGTTGACCGCGGAGGCGACGAACTTGCAGCCGAGGACGAGGTGGGAGAGGAGGATGGTGAAGTCGCCGCGGGACTCCGGGTGGCGGCTCTGCTCGTTGAGCACGTGCCGCGTGATCGTCATCAGGTCCGTCCGCTGCGCCTCCGCCGCGTGGTCCATCTTCCTTCGCCCTCCGCCGGCCGGCCACCCGGTTCCCTCTCGCCCGCTCGCTCTCGATCAGCCACACCGCCTTGTACTGCCCGGAGCCCCGGACTGTACGGGTTTTTAGACTGTGTTGGGGGAGGTGAGGCTAGCTGAGGGGATCGGCGGCAGATGACGATAGGAGGATGGGCGGCGGTTGGGACGCCTTTGTCCCGTGGCGCGACGGGGAAGGGGCTTGGCGGGTGCGCTCGTGTCACGGCCGGAGCCGCGTAGCGGAGCGGCAGGACGGCGCCGTTTCTCGCGGTGCGAATTGGCAAGTTGTTGGGACGTGGTGGGAAGGAGCTGCGGATGGTTTCAAGTGAGAGGCATCTGACAGCCGTAGGCTAGGGTGTCCGTGGCTTGAAATAGGCGCCGGCGCGTCGGTGCTGGGCGGGGGACGGTGGCGGCCGGTGGATGGGGAATGCGATGGGGTGCGGGTTCCACGTCTGTGCCGCATGGGCGCGGATATCTACCGCGCGCGATATGAGCTGAGGCTGACTTGGTGGGGTGGCACGGCGCGGGTCAAGGAAGCAACGCGTGCCCGAGAAAACAGGGCAAGGCCAACTGGGCTGGGTGGAAATGACTGGATGCCCGAGAAAACAGGGCAAGGCCGACTGGCCACCATTTGCTGCAAACGGGCGTCGGTAGCAGACTATCGCGTTGGAACGGAATGCGAACCTGATTCAGCTGGCGCTTGGCAGCGACACACAGCACCTCGCGCTTGGCAGCGACAGAATGAGACGGTTTTATGCCATCCCGATCCGTTGGGGCCTGGGGCCAAAAGTTAGCTTTGCCTCCATGCCGTTAGATTCCGTGTCCCTGCTGGGTCCAACTTGCCTTTGGATAATTCTTGGAATAAGGGTGTGCGGAGGCCGCATGTTTCCGTTGGTGGGCCGCGAGCCAGCCCAAATATCCGTTCCGTATCTGTTCGTCACCGTAGTTTCTAAAAAAAATCACCGAAGCAGGGCGCACGGTCCACCCGCAGAGCTCACAGCGGCCGGCCAGGGCGGAGGCCAGCCCGCGCTCATCCCGTGCTTGCCGTGGCTGCCCACGCTCACCTCGGGCGGGGCGGAGGCTGTCCAGCTCGCCATAGCCGGGGTGGAGCCTGCCCGCTTGCAGCTCACGGTAGCCCGGGCGGAGCCCGCTCGCACACATCTCGCGCTCCGCCTGCCCAGCTCGTCGTGGCTGGAGCGGAACTCATCCGCGTGCAGCTAGTGACGGCCGGGATGGAACTCGCCCACGCACAGCTCGCAGCGGACCTCACCCCGTGCACAGCTCGCGCTCCACCCGCATATTGTGGAGACCCGCCACGGCCTTCTCCACTGGACCTACCGCGACCTTCTCCATTAGAGCGGCGAGGTCCGCGCCACCGGCAAGCTCTACATCAGTGAACTTCACACGACGATGAGCCTCCATTCTCCCAAACAGCAAGGAGATATTGCGTTGAAACTACATGCTGCAGGCGTATATTTTAAATGTTTAAGAGGTATGTTGCAAATATTTCGTATGAATATTACAAAAGTAGATCGAGGTGTTGCACATATTGTAATGGTTGTACACATATGTTGCAAAGCGTTTGTTCTAAATGTTTCATCTATTTTTTAGATGTATGTTGCAAGTGTGTTTATTTGGATGTTGCATATGTTTCACACATATATTGCAAGTGTTTTATCTGGATGTTGCATATGTTTTGTATTGGCTTTTTCAAGTGTTTTCATGTGTTTTTTCAAGTGCTTCAGACGCATATTTCTAAGTGTTTCACCTGTCTTCACACACTTGTTGCAAATGTTTCATCTAGATGTTTCAAAAATAGATCGGGTGTTGCATCTTTCTCCTTGCTTTCTGTTGCCTCGCCTCGGTGTCTCCTCATCCTCTTGGCGTTGGCTAGGCATCCGCCGCTCCCTTCACCTCTCTCTCGATGCCGGTGACATTCGGGACGGTGCGGGCCCTGCATGGGCACACTAAACGACGCGGGAAACGGCTGCAGGCACGGGCGTCTGGATGCCGCGTCCGTCCGGAGCCGGGCGCTAACAAGCCCCTTTGCCTTTTCCATGCACGCACCAAATAAGGTCTATTCAGGAATGTCAATTGATAGAATGGTAAATTGAGCAAATCCTGTGGTAAAACACCTGATTTCGATCAATAGGCTAACTTTTCTAGGGTTTAGTGCCATATCAGAAGTGAATCCTGCTTGATGATTTTGGATGCTCCTCCGAAGGAGCCCCTAAGGAGGAGCCTTGCCATACACCCCCCTTAGTATCAAGGCGAAGATCTACCTCTTTAGTATTACAGAGAATAAGGAGAGAGTAAGGAGGAAGCTGGGAAAGTGCGGGGTATGTTGGCACTCTCCCCACTTGTACCTCAGCAGATGAGATCTCCATTCGAGTAAGCATTTGGGATTCTTCTATGGTCTTTGGTAAGCATTGAGTAAGTATCACGGGCATGTCACAGAATAAAAAGAACATTGTGAGTTGCATGGCAATCGTAATTCATACAATAGTATTAGACCAAATAGTCCTAAATTTTAGCTTATTATGTGGTTGTTTCATGGAACAACGAACTCTTTCTCTCACCCTTGCTATCTTTCAACATAATAAAATTTTCTACATGGCTTTGCATTACTCCTATGGGGCCGCTAATATGTAGCAATATACTTGCTCTTTGCTAAATCACAATGAGAGCATGCTCAAAAGCCAAGTAAAAGAAACACAAGGCCACTTGATACGAGGAAGGATCAAGTAAGCCCTAGTTAAAAACTTTTGATTCCCAAAGAAAGGACAAAGGCTAAACACAACCAAAGAGTCGAGTAAAAGAGACAAGAGCTTAAAGCAATGTAGAAACACTCAAAGTCATTTCATCAATCGATGGAACAGGACTAAGATTATAAGTGGTAAATTTAGAAAATGGTTACCTGTTATTTGATTAAAGCGTATTACTCACATTCTACTTATCTTAGCATCTCAACCTGGGCGTTCGGTATTACCGAATCGATCGGTTCGGTACTTCGGTTCTCACACAAATTCGGTTCCTTGGAAAATAGGTACCGATCGGTTCCTTCAAAAAATCGGTACCGAGGAAATTCGGTTTCGGTACTTTCGGTTCGGTTTCGATATATACTGAAAAATACCGAATTGATAACAGAGAAATGTAATGGCATGTTCAAAAGCCAATTTTGACATAATGTGGACATGATTTCATAGAGAATAATAGTACCAAATACATACATATAAAAGTCAAGACTATAAGAGTAGAGTACCACAAATACATAATACAATAGTCTAAACTAGTATAATCAATAATATAACAACACTCATACTCAACAAAATTCACATAGTTCGGTATATTCGGTTTGCCGAGGTAAAGAACCAAATTTACCTCGAAAAATTCGATTCGGTATTCGGTTCTCGGTATTTTGTGCCCAGGGCTATTAGCATCTACCACATGAGTTTAGATTGAAAGAATGAATAAAAACATGAATTCAGAGTGACTCTATTCAAACAAATTTCATCAATATATTTGTTGTTGTCCAATTATTTACAAATGGTCAAATTTGTTTCTTTTAACTATTGTCAGGAAATCGTTTTTTCTTCTTCTTTGTGCTAGCATAGCAGGATCGGGGATGATCCGAAATTCCGAATGTGATGTAGTTAGGAATGAGGATCATCTCTATGACAGCTGTATCTGTTTTTATATTATCTGTATTCTGCATTCTGCTAGGATCGACTGTTCCTGTGTCTCGGATGATTTGTCTCTACTCTCTATCAACGAACCTCTTCCAGAACCAGTGGTGCGCCCACAGCCTCTCGACCTGCTCGATTGGCAGGCCCTTGGTCTCCGGCAGGAAGAGGTAAACGAAGACGGTCATAGTCACCAACCACGCCGCGAAGAAGAAGAAGATGCCGGCCTTCATATGGCACAGCATGGCCAGGAACGACTGTGCCACGGCCGTCGTGAGCAGAAAGTTCACCGCCACCGCGATGCTCTGCCCGGCCGACCTCACCTCCAGCGGGAAGATCTCGCTGGGCACCAGCCACCCCAGCGGGCCCCACGACCACCCGAACCCGGCCTGGTACACGGCGATGAGGGTGATGAGCGCCACTGCGCACGCCTTGCTTACTTCACCGTCGTCACCGAGCTGGGACGCCATGATGCCTCCGATCAGGACCTGCGACACCAGCATCTGCGAGCCGCCGGCCAGGAACAGCGTCCGCCGGCCGAACCGGTCCACGGCGAACATCGACGCCAGCGTCGCGCCGACCCCGACAGTCTGCTTGGCGACCACCGCCAGCAGCGCCGCGCTCTCGCCCATGCCGACCGTGCGCAGCAGCACCGGCGCGTAGAACGCGATGGCGTTGATCCCCGTCACCTGCTGGAAGAAGGGTATCATCACGGCCATCACCAGCTGTGGCCGGTACCTCCGTTTGGAGACCATCATCTTAAGACCTCGCCACGCCGTGACCTTGGACGACGATGACCTGGCCGCCGCGACCATGTCGTCCACCTCGTCCTCAACCCATTTGCTGTCCGTGCCGCCGCCCCGGATCTTCCTCAGTAAGTCTCGCACTTCGTCTCTGTCCTTGCCTTGCTGGACGAGGCTGTTGGGCGTCTCGGGGAGGAAGACCGCGCCGACGGCGAGGAACACGGCCGGGACGGCCGCGACGGCGAGCGACACTCTCCAGCCCCACCCACCCTTGATCTTCTCCGTGCCGAGGTTGACCAGCTGCGCGGCCAGGGAACCGAGGCCAACGCAGAGCTGGAACCCGTTGCTGAACGCACCTCGACGCAACGGCGGCGCCATCTCCGACAGGTAGAGAGGAACCGCCTGAACTGAAGCTTGGCTCGAATGATTAGATTATCTTCTTCTAAAAACACGTACGTATATGGCGATAACATCCAGACACGTATGACGGTATGAGGCTTGAGAGACCTGATTGCCAAAGCCGAGGCCCACGCCGAGCAGGACGCGGCCGAGGATCAACATGGAAATATGCACGGCCGATCCGCCGATCGCGGCGCCGGCGATAATGGCGACGCCGGCCACGATCATGGAGGGGCGGCGGCCGCACCGTGCGGTGACCGACGAGGCGAAGAACGTGGAGACGAGGCCGGCGACGTAGAGCGAGGAGGTGAAGGCGGTGAGCAGCTGGCTGTCGAAGCGGCAGTAGTTGCTGACGCGCTCGCCGCCCCCCTTCATCCGCCTGTACACCTCCGGGAAGAACCGCTGCAGGAAAGCGTCCATCGACGACACGCCGCCTGTGAAAACAGTGGTGGTAGGTACTCTTTCCTCCTTAACGGATCGATCGATGTTTGTAAACTACGACTAGTTACCACTTACCAGAGACTCCGATGTCGTAGCCGAAGATGACGCCGGCCATGCCGGCGGCGACGCACGAGAGGACGACGAATGCCGTGATGCGGCCGCTGTAGCGGCGTGGCTCTTGGCGTTCCGGAGTGGCGCCGCCGCGCCGCCGAGCGCCATGACGACTGAACTGGAGCGGTGCGAACTGAGACGTACGGTGCTGTAATGCTGTTGATTGCTTTCTTATCTCCCTCGTTGGATATGTGGCTGTCGATTCAAGACTTGGCCGCGGCTTGAACCACGAGGTACACTCCCTGTGCTGTCGTACATGTCTCACTGTTCTGTTGACTAGCTCTAGCTGGTCACTGTCAGACGAAGCAGCACGGCATGTTGCGCGCAACTTTAAAAACTCTTTAAATACATATCTGTGAGATGAAAGTAACTTTGTGATGTACATATTGTCATTTTTTTGACGGTTTATACGTGCTCTCCCTGTCCCAAATTAACTATCGTTTTAGATTTCTGTGTCGTAAGTTTGACTAGATTTGTAGAAAATACGTGCAAAATTTATATCTTCAAATAAAATTATTATGAAAATAGATTCAAAAATCTATATAATGATATTAATTATATACCATAAATATTAATATCTTTTTATATAAAATTAGTCAAATTTCTCGAGAAATGAGAACGATAGTTATTTTAGGAATAGTAGTAGTTTACTAATTCGTATCATGTATTTCCGATCCGAACAAAAGTACTGCCTTGGTCTACCAGGCTGATATGATTTTCTGAACTTATTTAGGGGAATAGGGGTAAAACTCACATGTCTCTAATAGAAAGAACATGTAGACTACTTACTCCCCCGGCCCTCTATGTATGTTCTCTTAAACAAGACTTGAAAAGCAGGTAATTATTCGTAATTAAATTACGTGTAATCCCAATTATATTAAAGAACAATGAAATAGTTGTCAGAAAAGAAATTGTGAAGGAATAAATGCATAGCACAAGATATGTTATCACTTTTATTGTATGGAAAAAAATATATCTTACAACTCACTTCGTCCTGAAATATAAGCGATATAAATTTGTCTTAAGTCAAAGTATATATCGTAAGTTTCACAAGGTTTATAGACGAGTGCATTGACATAGCACAAATGAGAAAAATATGATTTCTCTGACCATATACAACATCAAATAGGACATTATGGTTGAAAGTTCATAATCTTGACAGTTACAATAACAAGGACAAGCACCTCTGATTTAACATGGCATTGATACAGTAACTTAAAATGAACACCCCCAAAGGCCCAAACTTAAAAAAAATTAACAAAAAACAGCAACACACAATTCAACATGTAATGATTGCACTTACAAATGCAATATCAGATACTATAGTTAACCAAAAGGATAAACAAGACCATCCACCCACACGCACAAAGGGCCAAACACGCTGAAAGAGAACAGGTAAGATAACCAACTTTTCCACTGCTGATGAAAATGAGATAGTAGAACACCACAGCCACATCACAAACAAGGAAACCGCTACCTCACCATGCCATCATGACATAGCATAGGCTACTACAAAGCACATCTCTTATAATTTCACAATCAAAGTGGTTACTTTTGCAGAGGAAAAAATGGCAAATACATCAATGTGGGGGCAAGCAAAAGGTCATTTTAGTACTCTGAAGACCTGCAAGGTCTTTCAGGGGAGATAAAAGAACTAGAGATGTGAGCCATTACCGAGATTTTGTTTGTGAGCAATACTGAGATTGAGTTGAAAGGGTACTGCTATACCTCAATCACGAACAATATGTAAATAAAAAGAACACCTACAGAATTAATTAAATCATCATAAATGTCATGCAAAATACAGGATGTACTGTACCAACGCTAAATTCTGCAGCATAACCTGCCTCTGAAAGATGCTTGTGCTCATATGTGTGCATTCAGGATTAGATTTTGGGTTTATATTAGCTTCTCCTTTCACTGAAAGAGCAGATTGACCAGAAACTCTCTAAACCAGAAACATTCTACTCATTATTTCCATTTACAAATTTCAAGAAAATAGCCACTTTGTTCTATTTTTTCTTATAGGAGCATCCATCTTACATGCTTCGAATTTCAGGAAAATAGGACATTATGGACATTTATGATTGAAAGTTCATAATATTAACAGTTACAATATCAAGGACCAGCACCTCTGATTTAACGACTCATGACATTGATACAGTAACTTGAAAAGAACACCCCAAACAGAAAAGGCAAATAACAAAAACCAGCAATGACTGTGCGCTTACAAATGCAGTATCAGATAGTAGTTAACCAAGGGCATAAACAAGACCATTCATCCACACGCAAATGACCAAACACGCTGAAAGAGAACAGGTAAAGATAATCAACTTTTCCATTGAAAATGACATTGTAGAACACCACAGCCACATCACGATCAAGGAAACCGCTATGGATTTTTACATGTAACCATATGGATTTTACATGTATGTGTAATATTTTAGAGGATGAATGCTTGTGCATTTCATTGTAAAATAAATTATTTGGCATAAAAGCAAGGCAAATGAGTATACTAGACATTGTACGGACAAAGGGATGGTTATGTGCATTTGATGGAATTTGATATATGGACAAAGAATGAAAGGTTCAGTTTATGATTGAAGGGTTAAAAGGAGTACTCCCACATATATTGCTGCATAGGACATATGTACATGCTACGGTGCCACTGCAAGAAACATACGCACTTAGGGCACCCGCAATGCCTGACTCATAAGCTAGCTCTTAGCATTTTTTATATTTTAATAGAAGAGGGAGAAAAACTAGCTCTTGATCAAGAGCTAGTCTTATACACACATTCCAAGATCATGTGAGAGTGTCATGTGGGCCTAATCATACTATTAGTCATTGCTAAGAGCTAGCACTATTGGAGATGTTGGTTTAGAACTAATAACTGACTTATACCATTGCGGGTATCCTTAACCTATGAAATCAAGCATACTACGCAAGTGCCAAAGCAAATAAAGAATGTCCCAGGATGAGACATTATGTGAAAACTGTACTAGAACCATTATTTGGAAACGAGGCTCCACACATTCCTGTCCATTCAACGTTGAAGTGCCTCAGCTAGCATCGCGCCCTTGATATTTTAGCTATCCAAAGATAAATTTAGAAAGAAATCATGTCATAGAGGAAATTAACACAAATCGCATGAATAATTTCCAGCAAGCAATTGCAGTATCAGACAGTTAGAGCCCTAGAGCGTTCCTCACAATTACTCAGAACCCTTAAGCACAAACAGCAGATCAGCAGCAAAAGGAACTGCCGACCAAGGTTTGTTGAGGCCAGCAGTGGCTTTGATTTGAGATGGATTTAACCTGACAGAATCAATTAATCACTTGGCCTGAAAATATGAAACAATTTCACATAGGCTGCCTGAAACAGAAATACTCAGAACAGTTAAATTAGGGAATGAGTAAAGTGCATATCCGGTCTCTAAACTTGCGCCAGTGAGTCATCCCAGACCCCAATCTTGTAAAACGCAGATTTAGGTCCCTAATCATAGTTTGGGTCTCATCCCCATCCAATCGGGTCTGCACGCACGTAACCAGCTCGTGATTTTTTTCACGGAGACCCCCGAGCTCTCTCTTATCTATTCTCGGGCACTACCGTCAGTAAACTGTGTTCATGGCTGTCAGATCCTGGCATGGATTCAACCATAAATCACAGAACTCCAGAAAAATTCATCTCGAGGAGGAAGGGAAAAGGGAAAGTGAAAACGGTGGGTTCTCCTTCTCTGCTCCCTTTGACCGGAGATCCTGACAGCAACATAATAAGTGTCTGAATGATTCACCATTACAGAAGACCAATTTGCATGGCTGAGTTTTTCCATGTTTAACTTTACAAGTTGAGGGCCATAAACAGTTCGAATATGTAACTTAAGGCAGCTAGGCAGAGCCTTAAACAATGACTACAAAAGAGATTGTCATATCACTTAATGCCTTCCTTGCAAAAGAACAATCTACATTCACATCTCCTGATGCACGTCACCTTCAGCACTGTTCGGCTCCTCCTGCTGAGCTGCACAGGCCTTGCTTCTTCCCTTCCCAGACCTGGCATCCTTTCTTGTAGGTGGCTTCCTCTTCTTTGTTGCTGCTGCTTTGCCTTGTTTGGTGCAGGTTGTCAATGGGACTGATCTGGGGATTGGTTGATTTGTCAAGATGAATCCAGAGTGTGGCAATGGCCCAGTAGGCTGACTTAGCATGTTGGATTGTGTTTCCTGAGACATTCTTATTGTTACCCAATAGATTAAGTGTGAGCAGTAGAATATATGAATACATGTGCGAGTGATACCTGTGAAAGCATATCATTCAACAGAGTTGTACTTCCTTGTGTCATGTACACCTCAGCATCTCCAGGTCTCAATTCCTACAGGATGACAGTCAAAATAACGTGAAGAATGCACTTTATCAATTAACAGAGAGGACCAAAGAGGGGATTATTTTAACCTGATTGATTGGCTCATTTCTTCCTAGCAGTTCTTCCTGTGCACTTGTTTGGTGTACTGTTTGTTCCTGAACTGCAGCAGCTTGTTGGGCAGATTCTTCAGCCTCCTTCTCCAGTTGAGCTCTAGTATTTGCAACTAGCTTCTTGGCCTCCTCAGTAGTGAAGCCCATTTTTTCAGCTTACAACCATTTGTGTTATGGTCAGCATCTGAACAGAACGTACAGTGCATTGTGACTCCATGCTTTGTCAACTTTGGACCATTCCTTCCCTGTGATTCATGAGGTTGCTTCTTCCTGGACTTTGGTGGCCTTCCTACTTTCTTCACATAGACTGGAGGCAGTACTTCTGGCCCACCAACTTTGTCCCACTCAGTTTTTTCTTTGCATGGCCATATGTTGAAACCATATGCCTTATAGAATGTCTCCACCGAGTAGCAAGCTGAAGGACAGATTCAGGCCTAATCCTCTCATGTCTCAGGCATGCTATAGCATGGCAGCAAGGAATCCCTGTGAGCTGCCATCTCCTACAATCACAAGTCTGTGCATTGATGTCAACAATGTTCTGTTAATCCCTGTATTGCACTTGGGACACTCCTTGACCTGAAGGCATAGCAAAGCACATATTTGCAAACTCAGCATTTTTGTTCAGTTTCTTTCTTATCT